TTGTTTTAAATATATAATTTATTCAAATAAAAGAATTTTAACGCACTCAAAACATGACGAAAACATTTCAGTTTCGTTTTCGTGAGTTTACTTCCGGTTTCGTCTGCCAGCATGCGAAAAAGCTACTATAACTTTATTTATAAAAATCGGATGTAAAAAATTTGTAAATCTAATAAATTCAAATTCAAATATGGGTACTAAAAAAATTTTTGTTCTAAATCTTTGGTTGAGATAGTCGATTTTTATCCATTCAGAAACCTTAAAATTATGATTATAAGTACATATTCATCTTTTTTAAGTTTTCAATTGGTAATTTAAATATTTCAGATTAATTCCTTTTTGCATACAATAAATATAGGCGTTGTACATTTAATAATTTTCTCTTTCAGTCTTATAACTTTTTTCGGTGTTTGAATGCGCTGCTACATATCATCGTACACATCTTACTCGTGCGTCTTTTCATAGTTGTTCTGCTAACAGCCGCAAAATACAATAATTTTCCAAACAGAAGATAAAGAGTAAGCGTTGAAATAAAATAATTTATGTCTGTGGTGATGTTTTGCTGTAACACTTTAAAGTAGAACTCCTATTTAACATATTTTTCATACTTTTTTCATTATTTTGTATTAATCTAAGTCAAAATAAGTGAAAAATATTACATTTAGCAATAAAATAATTTATGGTTATGAAATACAGCATGAAACACTGGTGCCTCTTTTAGTGTTAAAGGTAAAATAATCTAAACACGGCCCACTTACAAACAATAATTTTTCAAATTTGCATTTATTTGTAGTTATTTAAATCTAAGAGAAAGGTTTATTCATTATTGAAATTTCTTTAATTTACAATATTGATATATTTGATATATTTTTGACTATGAATGAAACAATTTTTTTTTCGAACTACTTTTTTATTTTTTATTTTTATTTTAGTCCAAATATATTTCTGATTGTCTAACAAATATTTTTAGTAACTATTAGACGGTATTTTTACAATTTAAAAATACCGAAATATATTTTTGATTGCAATTAGAGCGTTGGAAAAGGAATATATAAAAAGGACAAAGGTGTACTATTTGGATCACAGAGTTAATGGCGACCGTATTTAACAAAAGACTTGTGTAGAGTGTTGGCTTTCATAGTTTTATAACAAACTTCTGTTGAAAAAGTACGATATGTCGTAAAATTAGTTTAAAAAAAAGGAATTTGAATTTAGATTATTATGGTTCGCATTTGCCGGACAGAAAAATCGAACGAGAACTGACGTGTTGACGAAGTTTTAAATTTTTGTTTTGAAATAAAACAAATATTTTCAGAAAGGAAATTTTTTAGTTATTTTCTCGTTGACTTCATGTTATATAATAATAGTAGTTTAAAAATTGTCGTTGAAAAATTGCTTATAGGACATTAATGCGTTCTTTGTATTTTCTACTGGAAATATATTAAAATTAGCTAAATCATAATTCATGACACGAAAAAAAAATTAATATTGGTATTATCATATTTTAAAGAAAAGCAAATTGACCATAGTTTATTAAAAAATGAATAAACACTCTGAAAAGGAATTCGATTAATCAAATCGAATTCCTTTTTAATAATTCCTTTTCCTTTTTGAATTCCTTTTTAAACGAATTCCTTATTCATTAAACCGGTCTATACGAAATGGATCGTTCCTGGATCTTATGGATCCTAACTTTCAATAATGTAATTGTGAAAAAAGTAATTCTTTATAGGCAACAAATTTTTGCACCACCGTAAATATTGCAAAAAACGAAGCTGTTTTTCAATTTTCAACAACAACAAAAAATTTATGAAAAAAAGAAATAAAAAAAGTTTAAAAANTAAGGTTGTATATATACGAAATTTCCCTCGATATAAAATATCTTTGGGAAACACAATTTTAGGAATCATTTTAAGTTATTCAATTTAAATTCAAAACTTTTCAATAACGAAAAAACTTTTTTGTTTCAAAAAATATACTTTTAAGCTTTTAATGAATTAATTTTAAGCTTTAATGAATACTTTTAATGAATTAAATTTGAAATTAAAAAATTGAGAATAAATATACTAGCTTTTAATATATATTTCTGTAAGTCCATAAGAAATTTACAAAAAAATTAGCTTTTTATAAAAAAAAAATTTTTGATTGAGTAAATTGTAGATTAAATGACTAAATTAACTGATTAATTGAGTAAATTATTGATACACGGATTAATTAACTAAATGCTTGATTAATTAAGTAAATTATTGATTGATGGATTAATTGATTATTAAATCAAATTGAATTGATTAATTAATAGGTTGATTGATTAATTGATCAGTTTTTCGATCATTTGGTTGATTGATTGATTATTTTACTATTGATTTTACAAGCGCTGATGAACCTGAAACAACGCGTGATTTTGCTTTATACTAAGGTGCTGATCAGCTAAATAAGTGTTAGGAAAAAGATAAGGTTGGTCAAACCTGCCATGATTTCCCATAAATAGTACATCACTAATAATGTTTAAGTTTGACTTTGAAATTTATTATATTGTGTTTTTAATTTTAGACTAATTAAACCTTTTTCACAGAACATAGTTTTTTTTTTCGTTTTTTCAGACTTAGCGCACTTTTAGAATCAAATGTGTTTCATTTCTGAACTATTTTGCATATAGTTCAAGGTAAGAAAAAATAAATAAATGATTTTTTTTTCAAAATATACTCTGAAAAAAACAAATTTCTTTGAAAAAATTGCTGCTGAAAGTAATCACTCCTTACAAAGACAATTTTTTTTACAATTTTAAGTTTTTAATGTGCATAATTTGATAATTAAGTACATAATTTTAATTTAAAAAAAAAAAGCTTTACGGCATTTGAACGTTCGAAATTTTTTGTACTAAAAGAGAGAGATGTTTTTTTTTTTAGAATTAATATACTATTTAAATATTATGTTAATTCTTGAAAAATAAACAAAGGAATTTCTACGAGATCTTTGTATTACACTGCCAATATTTTTCGAAAAGTTTTATTTATTAAAACATTTCTGTAAAATTAAATTCCTAAAATATATATTTTACCAAAAAAATATACGTTTTAATTCAAAATAAAGTTTGATCTAATTTTTAATTACTTAATTATTCATTAATTACTTTAAAATATTTCTTTTTAAATTAAATCTTTTGAACTTAATATTTTTGAAATTTTTGAAAAATTGAACTTAATATTTTTGAAAATATTCTAGTTATAATATCTCAAAGTAAATGTTATGTTAGGAGGATATATTCGCATAAAACTGGAATTTTTTCATTTTATTAAGGATGAAAAGTAACATTTGTCAAAGTTTCTCTGATTTTCGAGGCCAATTCTCAACTTTTTTTTTTAAAAAAAAAGAGTAATTAGAATTTTAAATTTTTAACAAACAAATCATACAGATTACAAAAATTTACCCTCTTAAAACAAGTTTTATGAACAATAGTGCAGTTTATGAAAAGCGCATTTTAAAAGAATTTAAGATAGCCTACACGTCTTATAATTTTTTATGGTGAAGGTAATATTGAAAAGCATTTTAAAATGCTTTTAATTCTATGTTATCCTTGATTTTTTACATAATGTATAATAGCCTTAAAACCTGAATAAAAAGAAAGGAAGAATTTTGATGATTTTTCGGATTATGTTTTTTTACTTAACGAGTTTAAAATTTATTTCGATAAAATTATGCTTTTTAGGTTTTAAATCGTTATGACGTCATTTTAACAGCATTGATTTCCACACACATTTTTCGAGGGAATGTATTTTTAGCATATTCCAAATTTCTGAATAAATAAACCTTTATGGAGGTTTTTAGTTTTGAACCTTAGCAAAAGGTTCACAACTAGAGATATTAACATGAAATGCATTTTTCCTGAATTTAATTTCTTGAAACTAGGATCAACACTTTATAGCAAAGAAAAAGTTTCTTTTATGTATTTTATTTATTTATGTTTACTAGTTTTAATATTTTTTCTAGATATAATATCGATATTAAAATGATAATTTTTTTAAAAAATCTAGTTCATTGTTTGGTTATTGTTTCGAACAGTTCTAAATGCTGTCTAAATTTAAAAAAATAAATAAATAAAAATTTATTTTTGTAGTTAGAGCTAACAAAATCAAAATGGTGTATACGTGTTTTACCTTTAGCTAGTCTCTGTTTTAATCTTCGTGCCGATCCTGGGTAGGTGCAACAATTCCAGATAGTACAAATTTATTTCGCTCTGGAATATGCTATTCGCTTAAATATTTTCTTGTTCTTAGTAAAGTTATACTTTTTTGAAATATTCTTATAAAATACTCTTTGATATTATGTAAGTTTAAATTTAAAGAAGTCACTTAATCGAAAAGTTTAAAAACGAAAGAACCCAAAAGGAGTGTCATCCAATAAGAGGCATCTAATGGTCTACTAAGATATAACGCCATGTTATAGTGAAGTTGTCAGTTGGAATATGCTATTTACGTAAACATTTTCCTGTTCTCAGTAAAGTTATACATTTTTGAAATATTCTTATAAAGTACTGTTTGATATTATGTTTTTGATTCACATTGAAAATAAGTTTATATTTAAAAAAATCTAAAGTCAATTAATTGACAAGTTTAAAAACGAAAGAACCCAAAATGAGTGTTATCCAATACGAAGCTTCTAATGGTCTAAGATATAGCACCACGTTATAGTTTAAATCTATCTTACTACCTTTTTTTAAAAAAAAAAAATAGTTATGTAAGAATACGTTCTCATAAAATTATATTAATAGGCAAGCTTATGTATTTCCTACAAAATAAAATTAGTTATACAGATAGCAATAATTCGAGTAATTTTTGAAGGAGTTACTTGAAAATAATAATTCGAGTTGAAAGTGACATTTGAAAGTTACATGAAGTATTACACTCTGTATAAAACAAAATAGAAAAGTTGCAATAAGTCCTATTTACAACATTTTCAACTGCTGAATATTTTCATAATAATTTTAGAAAAATTATACTTACTGAGTTGTTGTTGTTGTTGTACTTTTTCTACGTTTTTTTCGATACTTTCGAATTATGTATTTTATGTATTTGTAGTAATTCTTTTTCTGTCCTCTGTATGGATGCCTGCGAAGGAAAAATATGACATATCGTCGTTCTTCGGGAGTGGTATCTGGTGGGAACTCAATATCAATCGGTGCTAAGGTTGTGGTTGTTTCTCGAGAATAATATATTTCAAAACCTGTTGGCGGTGCTCTTGTTGTAGGTGATTGTATAAAGATATCGAAACCTGTCGGTTTTCTCGTGTATAAAGGTATTCTTACACCTGGATTCTTTTCTTCATAATGTCTTCTGCATTGTTCCAAAATAAATTCTATTAACTCATACAAACATTGCTTATGTTTTTCTGGTGGAGCCTTCCCTTTATTGATGAAATGAGTTAGAGTTGGGAATTTTTTAACATAATGGTGATGTAAAGGATATTGTTCTTGGAATCCTGGTAGAAATGCTTGGATCTGAATTATGTTTGTCGGGAAATTCTGGAATATTTGCGTTCCTCTTCTAGGAATTAGGGTTTCTTCTGGTCCTCTTTTTGGGAAAACATTCGGAAGTAATCTTTTTATAGGGTGTTCCTCTTCCTCCAGCAAAATACCTATAATTAACTTAACCTCCCTAATCAACGGTTCATTGGGTTTTCCAGTTGTTTCTAAATAGGCATTTCTTAAAGCTCTTGTTACGATTTGCACTTTCCTGTCAAGTGTAACAGAGTCATCGCATTCAACTATAATTAACTCTGATATCGTAGCTGCGAATGAAACCATTAAGACATCTTTCTGACTAGGATCAGTTTCTGCTGTTTGTAGCAGGCTGATAGCTTTAAGCATGACGTGAGTTACTTGCTTAAAATCTGTCCGAGCCCTAGTTCCGAAATTAGGATCACTAAGTATATTAGTCACAAAAATATCTCGGAATTTCACATTCATTTCATCAAACTCATACGGATCTTCGGGAAATTGTCTACTGACTTCCTCCTTGACCGGAATTTGTTTGCGGATCACCACTGGTTCGTTGATGACCATTGAAACCGAACGTGGATCACTTCCAACTGGATAATATGTTTCAACATGAGCAATTTTTTCTATATCAACATTATTCTTTCCATGGGGCTTCATACCATTTCTATTATTTTTACCGGGATGAAGAATTTGACCATAAGGTTTATTTTTCCCCGGACCGTTAGGATTCCTTCCATTTGGTTTATTTCTACGAGGATTTCCAGGAAAATTGTTTCCATTTGGACCATTCATTTTACGGTAAGTCATTTGATTATAGTTATCATGGCCATTTTGTTTGTTCCTTCCTGGGTAATTATTTCGACCATTACGATTATTTCCATTTCGATGATTTCCTCCTGGGAAGTGATTTTGACGGTATGGATTATTTTTTACTGGGTAGTTCTCATCTGGATAGTCATTTGTCTCAAAATTAAAATATTCATTCATAGGATCGAAGCCTTGCTTGCGTCGATTAAAATTAAGGTTAACATTTTGCATAAATGGATTTCTTTTGTTAGGATTCCTAAAGTTAAAGCCTTCGTTCTCGAGATTTCTAAAGTTAAAGCCATTCCCGGGATTTCCAAAATTAGAGCCTTCATACTCGGGATTTTCAAAGTTAAAACCTTCGTCCTCGGGATTTCCAAAATTAGAGCCTTCATACTCGGGATTTTCAAAGCTAAAACCTTCGTCCTCGGGATTTCCAAAATTAGAGCCTTCATAATCGGGATTTTCAAAGTTAAAACCTTCGTCCTCGGGATTTTCAAAATTAAAGCCTTCGTCTTCGGGTTTTCCAAAGTTGAAGCCCTCATTCCCAGGATTTCCGAAGTTAAAGCCCTCGTTCTCAGAATTCTGAAAGAAATTATTCACATCACCTGTATCTTGTCCCATGGAATATTCATTGTCTTTGTTGTTGTTACTCATGTAATCCATGTCCAAAGCGTCGTCATTGTTACCCTCATTATCGTTATCACTTTGTTGAAAATTAACACCACCACCGTTATCACCACTTAGTTCGGTATCACCGTCACTTAGTTCAAAATCATCGTCCTCTGAAACTTTGTCTAAGTCATAGTTTTCACTATATGGATCAAAATTTTGATAATCTAAAGAGTCTTCGTCGTAATTGCTTTGTAGGTTTATTTCTTGGGCGTTCCTAAATCCAATACATATAAAAAGTATGGTAAGAAATACATGGGATATGAACCCCATGATATAAAGAAAACACACCCTTAATGTTCTGCCATTTCCATTCTCTAAGCGCCACTTATATATGGCATTTAATTTTGAATGGTGATCGTTAAAAGTTGTTGCGTAAGTTCCAATTCGTTGCCTTCTTTACCGAAGTGCTTTCTTTCACAGTGATAAGGCGCTATCAGGCCTATTAATCAGAACAATTGCATTTGGAGATGAATAAAAATTAATGAAGTCAACTCTTTCTACTTGTTTAGCTGCAAAAATATATTTACTTTTCATTTTGATGTAATTTCTGTACTGTAGAGGAGAAAATATCATTATTTAGCATCAACTATTATAGATCTTTTTTTATTCTTCACAGTTATTAAACAGATACATTTACATGCGCAGTAAGATTCATTCAATTTTTACTATATCTACAATTGTTGTTAACTGTATTTAAAATAGCGGTTTTCAGCTGAATGGATATGAGAATAAGGGAACTTTCTATTTTGCTTCTTACTTCTAATTTAAATTCTATGAACTTAAGAGGAAACTGAAGTTTCTTGCAATTATTTATATTTATTTAGTGCAGATGAATAAATTGTATAATCGGAGTTTCAATTTCATTAGAATAAAGTTTTTATTGGGTGTCGCTAAATTTACGCAAGAAGTAATTTTGATCGAATACTCAAGATTTTTATTAAAAACTCTGAATTATTTCCTTTTTTTATTTATTAAGTCTGCAGCATAAAATTATGTTTAGAAGGGCAGTTGTTGAGTTAACTCATATTCAAAAATAAAATTTAAAAAAAAACATTTTTTATCGGAAAACGTGACGTTTCTCTTCAGGACACATTCCTTTCCGATGGCGAGTAGTGATATTGCAAAATAAATAACAATTTTCCTTCGATAAAAATCATTTTTTATAATGCGTCTACATCCTTAAAAAATTAAAAAATGCAATTGAAAATGAGTTTAAGATAAAAGAAGAAAAGCATAAGACAAACTTACCAATATGGAGTAAAATAAAATAAAATGGCCTTGAATTAGATATACTAATCTAACAGTTAACAAAAAAGGGTGATAAGAAAAAATATAAAAATTTGCTTTTAACTTATATTGTATAATATAATTAGTAAAAAAATAAATTTGGTAAAAAAATTACATTTGAGTGCTGCCATCTATGAAATGAACACTATTATAAAAATAATAATTGGAAAATTAAGGCAACAAAACCCATAATCGGTAATGAAGCTAATAAAAACCATGAAAACTGTCTTTAAATTCTAAAATCAATGTTTAAAAAAAATATTAATTAGGATAACATAAAAAGAGAAGAAGCTTTTTATGTTACATATATATATATATATATATACATTCTCGCTCTTGGGAAGTCATATGGAGGTAAAAGCTCCAAAATTTTGTAACGAACGACATGATTATGGCAGTGTGGTCAGCACTTAGCATTGCAATTTGGCCTCCTTTATCTTTAAAAAATATTGGTAGTTACACTAGGTATATTAAACTTATTTTGTCATTTCAGCTATATTTTATTACATTTTTTGCCCACTCTTCACAAGTGACTTTCACGGATTATTNTATATATATATATATATATACATGTAACATAAAAAGCTTCTTCTCTTTTTATGTTATCCTAATTAATTATTAAAATCGAAAAACTTTCTCATACTTTTAAAAAGCCACATCCTGTTCTTAAATCTATTGGCTCAAATATGCATAATTATAAGTGAAGACACTTTTCCCTTTAATCTTCGTGGGAATCACTCGACCTATTTCATAAACCAATGGCAATTTCTAAAATTTCCTCTTAGATTCTGAGATTTTCCTAAAGAGAGACATTTTCGGATTTTTTACAAGATTTTCCCTACCAGAAAGACTGATCATCGATGGAAATAACTGACTTTTCGCTCGTCATCCATTAGAAAATGATCTAAATAAATTCTTTTGCTTTCATTAAAATCCTGTGTCTGTTTTCCTGCTCGGTCCGACTGCATCATTTTACATAGATATATACAAATATATATATGGCAAAAATGGCGCGATATTCATATTTTCCTTAAATTTTAAACACCCTTTAGAGTCTCAAAGCAAATTATACACAGTAAAGAAAACCTTTGAACTATATTATTGATGTAATTCAAACAAATGAGTATTGCGAGATTTTAGGCAAAAATATTACCGACATAAAAGCAAAGTAAGCTATAGTAATTTTAAGTATAGAAAAAAAATATATCCTTGAAACAATGGTTTATCTGATCATGCACTAAAAATTAAATTAAATTTGCACTTGTATCATAACTAGCGGCATCTGGCGTCCACCTGATCCGCCTTTTTAAATAAGAGGAATTTCAAGAATCTCGAGATTTAAAATCGTTTAGTCCAAAACTTAACTATATAAAAGAATCGACTTACATTTCATTAGTTAATGGGGCTTTATTTTTACCTTTTTCATACATTTTCACACTTATAAATCATGCATGTTTTGAGGAATTTTCCATTTCGAATTGACAAAAAAAGGATATCGTGGTGAATCTGTTCTGCTTGTTAATTGAACAATTTTATCAAGCAAAAACATTTTGATCATAAAAATTTATGATTTACTTCAAATATTTTTCATGCAAGTCATGTTTCATATTTGTCACATCCTATATGTAATTTTGAATACAACTGTAAAAACAAGCATTAAAAGAAATGATCATAGACATTTACGAGACATATAGACTTACATGGTCTATATGTCTCGTAAATGTCTATGATCATTGTCTCGTCATGGTCTATATGTCTCGTAAATGTCTATGAAATGTCTCGTAAATGCCCACACCTTCCCGTTATAAGGTGTAGACCTTTTCCAACGACGACAAGACTTTGATTGAGCTATCATGAAGGATGGTTTTTGTCCTCAGCCTGGCTTTCTGCTAACTAAATTTTTTCACTTCTGGTAACACACACTTCTGTTGTAATTTTTAAAAAAAATTTCAATCGCGTTCTTAAAAGCAAATAATTGCTATTCTGAATAATGAAATGCTTATTCATAGTACTTACTTTTTTGTATGATTTTTTTTTCAATCCCAGCCAACCTTTGTACAATACATCTGAGCACATTTCAGTACATTTTAGTCCGTCGATATATACGGTAAATTTTACAATATACAAAATATTTAAAGGCAATAAATTTTTCAAAATTTTCAAACTGTTTATTGACTGAGTTTTAAAAGCATTAATGGGAAACTAATATTTCATTTCCTTCACCGGGAAATTTCAATCCGGTTTTTATTAGTTTCTTTAAATATTTATTGATATTTCTTTAAATATTTCTGTATTTGTATTCTCGATTCAAATGCTTTGAAAAGAAATGTCTCTATTAGTTTTGTTTGGCAAAGCAATTTGTTTTGTAATTGTTATTCAAAAGTCCAATTTTTTTGTTAAATAAGTTTTTAGAAAAGGATAATTATAGTAAACGAGAGCGATTTTATCGAAAACCATTTTTTTTCCCTTTCGACTTTAACAAAGAATGAGCTTACATACATGTAATAAAAATTTCGAACAACAATTTTTTTACCTCTTTTTGTAATAAAAGATTTATGATCATTGTGAAAGCAAAAAGTAAAGAAAAAATTGCAAAAAATCAATAATAATTTTTAAACAAATAGAAATTCTGAAAATTAAAAACCTATGTTTGCGTATGACAATATTAGTTTCAGAACATAAAATTTCAATCTTTTAGTTGCATTTCAGTGAGTTGCTGAATGGACCGTGTGTTATAATTACTATTAAATTAACAGTTGTTAATTCTCGATCTAATTATCGAATGTTAAAATTTTTCATTCCTTCATACTCTCTGTAAATTTTTCTGTATACCTTAGTATTTTCAAGTTTTATAGTTTCGGTGTCGAAAACACTATGTAAAGTTCAATATCTAAAGTTTAAAAAAAATTTAGCAGCTTTTACCATTTTTTAAATACAGAGAGATATATATTTGTTACAATTTGTGTTATGTAGAGATTAAACAACTTTAAGTAAGATTACCATGTAATAACAAAGTGCAAGAGACCATTTTTAAGATGAACTCGAGTTACAGCTTATTGCCTCAAGGAAAAAAAAGCATTGGTGGTAGAATTTTTAACCGTTATGTGAATTGGCAATTACATATTAGGCACTTTTTTAACTAACTCTTCTCTATTTTTTCTCACCTATTTTTGACCAAAGTAAAAAAAAATTTTCTCAGTTTTAAGAAATTTTACAATGCAGAAGGTAAGTTTAAAATTCCGCCGACCAGGTAGCCGAGTGGTTAGCGCGTCTGACTGCGGAGCCATTGGCCGCGGTTTCGAATCCTGCTTAGGGCATGGATGTTTCTTTCTCTCTCTCTGTGTTCTATGTCCTTTCTCCTTTGTGTGAATGTGACCCGCTCTATAAACGGGCTTGTGGTTGTGTGACGTGGGCGACGCTGCTCCACCGACGTGGCTTCGCCACAGGTGCCCACTAGGTAACGAGAAGAGAGTAGCAGTTCTGGCATTTCTGTGGCCAATGAGACAAACCCCAAGTGCACTCAAAAATGTGAAGAGTTTTTAAATAAACTAAGGAAGTTACTCTATATTTCTTTCTTTTTGTTTCGTTATTGAACCCTTTACGCTGAATGCTGACTTAATATAAAAATGCTCATTTAAAGCTGTGAATATGCTAACCAAAAAAAAAAACTAGTACTTATTTTGTAAATATTAAATGCGAAGAATGAAATATTTTAAATTCTAAATTAGTTCTTGATTTATGCATATGCTGAAAATGAATAAAATAAGTTGAATTATGATTTTCATTGTTATGAATGTCGAGAATGTTTGACAGAGAAACATAATTATTGATTATTCGATTCGGTTATTATAGTTTAAATTGAAAAGTTTGCTGAGCAATACTTTTTTATAAATGCATATTCTTTTCATAATTTATTTGATAAATTGTTATCAAAAAAATCTTTTTTTTTAAATTTTGCTACTTTTTTTCATTGGCACTTTGCATAAAATTTTTTATTTAAACTATCAAAATATTAA